TGCATAAAGAAAATATAAATTACTAATCCTGGTCATACTAACTTCGCGTAGCCACTTCATCAAATTTGTATTCATCTATAGACTAACATTTTTTTGTTTTAAATCAATACACTACTATTTAATAATTTTTTTGGCAAAGATTAATGTGAGCAGAAGAAACCTATAAAACAATTAATTTTTGCTATTCCATGTTGAATGACAAAAATTTTATCACATGAGTTTATTGCACAATACAAAATATTCTTACCGCATGTAATAAATATGGTGTAGTGCTGTGACCATCTTGTCTATTCTCGTCAGCTTGAAGTCTTTGAGCAACTTTTGCATCTTCTTGCTCTTGTTTTCTTCTAGCCTCCTCGGCTATTTTTCTCTTTGCCTAAAATAATATAACATACAATAATTTTTATGCCATAATTGACTATAGATATTTAAATTAACTTTAAGGAGTTAGTGTATTATTGTGTACCTCATTTTCAATATACAGTGCATGTTCTTTAGCATAAACATCTAACAACTTTTGTTTTAACTTTTCTGCCTTTGGCATAACTTCCTTAAGTTTACTCTGATTGACTGCTTTAACTTCTGATGGCACAGTGTTGTACTCTGGGTGTTTCCGAATCTTCTCTACAAATAGGGTCATAAACTTCATGTACAATATATAAGCGTTTTCTAAACTGCCCTCAGCAAGATACACATTTGCCATCCTCACCATTTCTAATCCAGATCGATAATACCTACAATTTAATTATTAAAGCAAAAAATATGAATCAATCTCGGAACACTAGGAAATTTTTGCTATATTTATTAGAATGTAAAAAACTTATTGGCAATGTTTCTGCAATTGTAATAAATGTGAGTCATCTCGAAAATCCCATAAAAATATCTACATAATTTATACCTGCTTACCTTCGAGGAGGAACATTGGGATCAACGTCTACCATTGCCCCATAGTTGGCCAATTGCTTAACCCTAGCTGCCGGTTCTAAGGACGCTAGATCCACTGTTTTACCCTTCTTTTCAATTGACTGCATCTTTATAATTAAGTCTTTCTTCGTGTAAATATTTGATAACTTAATTCAAATAATATATGCTTCGTGGCGGCACATTGAATATTTGTATGTAATTATTGCTCATCGCAATATTTTAATTAGTAATCATTTACTACTACCATACAAATGAAATTGTTTTTCTGTTTGATTATCTGATATTTTTGTCAACTTGACATTTAGCGACAAATTACATTTGACATATTTAAAAGTGATGCCAGTGTATTTACTAGATATTGTATAGTGTATTTACTAGGCTAGATTGTCAAATTTCAATGAGATGTAAATCTCTCAGTAATACTCAGCAACGTGCACTTAACAGCTTATTATCGTCATGCTTTTAGAATGCATGTTTTAATGCATTCTAATTTTATCGACATCTAATGTATTCATGCTTTTAATGTAATCATATAAAGGGGGCAAGTTTGGACATGTTAAGCTTTTAAAAAGATTCCAGCATTTGAATTAGTTCTACATCTATTGCTATTTTTAGTTTTTTTAGTCTGTTCAAAGTCCATAAGATAAGCACAAAAATTTATAATATGTCTCTAGAACCACCAGTATTCGAACACAACTTTTATGTCTTTTACTGTAATATTCATAAGGACAAAAAGTTAAATAATTTTATTATTCAGTTAGTTAATTTACTGCGACATTACTGAATTGCAAATAACAATTATAAAATAAACATTATTAAAAGAATGTTAACAAATATGTATTTTAATTACATACTTTAAATTCAATAAATATTTCTAATGGTTTTAAAAACACATGAAAAACAGAAATAGCAACAGTAAAGAGTCGGAAGCCAAATACAAGTGTTGATCATAACCATGAAGCTTATCACAATGCTTCCATAAAATTTGCAAAAGGTCTTGAAATTTATTGGAAATGAGGGGAAGCGTTTGTTAACACTAGAACAAGATTCTGTTCTTGATATGCCATGTCTTGGCGTGGGTTTGCATACATCATCTTTCCATACATCTCTATCAGCATTGTCAACAAAGTTTCCAATACCCTTAAAGGTCCTTTTAAACCAGTTGTCTTTCTTTGTTACATGTATCCATCTACATTGTTGGTGCAAAATGTTTCTTTCACTATTACAAGGAGGATAAATCAAAACATTTTTCTTTCTTCCGTGTCTTGGGCATACGGGTCTATGATGTAATTTTTTATATTGCCTTGGTCGTTTGTGTCTTTTATAAACTGGAGGTTTACTATGTAACAAATCTCGTGGGATATTATTTAAAGACTTTTTGGAAACAGATCTTTTTTGGAGAGGCGGGTGAAAGTGACTTTTCTCATCAGGTAGATGATTAAAATCGACACGTTCTCGTTTTTTATGTTCAAGGGCAATATCATTACGATATTTCATATCAAGGTTTTTGTCTGATATTTCTTGTTTTTGTAATAGAGGACGATCTTGTAAAGTTAGAGGACGATCTTCATAATTATTATAATCTTTGTTTGTGAAAACCTCCGGTGGCGATGTAATGACAAAGTATGATGAATTGGGCGTGTTTGTTAATTTCGTGTGAGTATATCTTTTACGTGTCTTATAAGGTTTCATCACCCACCCTCTATTTCGATTATAATAAACACTGTACTTCATTCTTGGATCAGCACATAAATTGTGACGACTTTTAAATCTGTATTTTTTTATCATAAGCAGTCTCGACGACAGGCGGTTTTAATGAATCTGATTTTTTAGATTCTTTTTTTTTTAAGCATAGAATATAAAGTGTTGACAGTAAATTGAACTCTCCTAGATATATTATTAAATAAACGACCAAGTTCATTACGATAACTAGTTTTCTTAGTGAAACCATCTTTTTCAAATAATTGAAAGGTCGCACTGGATATGTCAGCAACCAACAAAAAAACAGACAATTATTATACAAGGAGACCATAATATTACTATTACTATAAACATAACGCTCTTGAAAATTGACCTTGGCAACGATTTCCGATCATCAACATGATCTGAAGAATACGTGGGTGACTTTGTCCGAAATATTAATGGACCCTCCTGGAACCTTCCCGTTGCTTGGATTGGAGTTAGTTTACTTTCACATTTAGGGTTTGTGCAAATGTGATTGTTGCAATTGTTAGTGTCCCCAGATCCATTCCTGGGAATATTAAAGCAAGATGGAGTAACCCCTATGCATCTGCTGCAAAAATGGCATCTTTCATTCCTTGATAATCTAGGAATACCTTCAACACGAGTTTGTTCACGATCTGAGCATGTAACATCGGCCTGAATATAACGATCGAGTGTTGGGCAATTGTGATAGCTTGGTTTGCCAAATTCATATATACTGTTCTTTACTGTTTGTGAATCTTTGTTACATTCCGTTTGTCCATTGAAATTTCTGCAACATTTATCGTTGAAGTCAGTTCTGGGTGTGGGACAACAACAACTGTATAAATGCTGGTCAGATTTGAAATTGCATAGTTTTAACGATTTCGTATTATGACTCCGATCCAATTTTCTGACGTCATTTCTATGTTTTTGTTTTTTACCAGTTTCCATTGTGTAGAGAACATGTACATCTTTATTATTGCACTGCTGCTTACCTTTTTTCGATCTTAAAGTTTTTGAAGTGATATACCGTAACGCTTCTTTAGTTTTATTGGCGACTTGACAGTTAGCATTTGAAAACTTTTGTTTTAATTCGTATAAACTTGCCGACCTTTTGATTACAGGCCTCTTAAATTTAACTAAAAATGTATATGTGTTGTATTTCGATTCTGACTCTAACATTGAAAATAATATTAATATTATAATCATACTCACTAGATGGTCTTTTAAAAAGAGTTTTTTTACATTTTCTTTTTGTCGTTGCTTGTAAAAATGTCTCTGAACTGAATGAACTTTTAGTTGGAATCAATGTTTCACAGTTTGCAAGGAAGTAATCAGTTGCTAAATTCAGTTTTTTTTTCACACGTGGAGTTGATTTTCTTGTTTGTCTTTTGATTGCTTTGCTGCTATTTGTTTCATGAGAATCGAAGCGCATAAGACGCAAATTGTGCATTTGTCCGAGTCCTTTACCCATTTCTAGTTACATATTTATTATTACATGCGTAACTTTTCTCAGAACTAATGTAAATAATAAAATATAATTTCTCTTATAGAGTGAATAATGTAAATGACATATAAATCGTATACAATGTAGAACAATAATAATATGTCACCTGAAAATAAAACGTGCAGATTATAAACGTAATTTATAAGTATATACCTACATTTAAATAACTTTTTTCACTTAAAAGTTAATCCCGGATCGTGTTTCTTCCATTCTACTCGACACTGGCAAAATATACTGTGCACTTCTTTGTACGGATGAAGGCCATATTTTAAATAAATAACAACTAAATAACTTTTCATATAATGGTCACCACAAAGATCCTTCTTATTGGATAATCTGTACCTAGGTGAATGGGCTTAATTTTATTTGAATCGTTTTGTTGCATGATTCTTGAGAATATACAAGCATTTACAGTTAAACTGATTAGATGAAATGTATATTTACATGAATTATTTTGGAACTCAAAAATTTACTGACATTATTTGAAAAATATGTGTACATTAGCCCAAGTATCGTTATGTGTTAGATAAAATTAAATTACGACGGCTTATTTTATGTTTCTTTAATGAACCGTTATATCGTTAACTTTTGCCCATAGACACTGATTATAGGTTTTGGAAGACCTATCAAACCTACAAAGCAATATATATTTGTCGTATTATACCTAAAACAAAAACCAGTGAACATTATATTCATCCGATATCTACGGATTTGCGACTACCATTACACGTTTGAGTCGACAAAACAAATCCTTCACAAGCTTATCAACTACGATAATAAGTATTTAATTAGTTATAAAGGGAGGATTCTACATACCGAAGACTTTTAATTTTACAAGCTTGTCACATAGGTGTACGATACGAAAATGGATAAACAGGAATTTATTTCATACTCAGTGCCGTCGTTAGGGGAGGGGGGGGCGCGATGGGACGACGGCCCAGGCCGCCAAATTTGGGGGGGCCGATTAGTGGAGGTAGGATACTTATAAATGAAAAAATAATAAAAAAAATAGGAGCTACATAACTTTCTACGTCCACGTCGTTAGCTCTGGGTCACGCTAAAGGAAAAATGGAAGATGGTAGATGGAATATAGAATTCTTAATACACGTTCAGTATTCACATTGGTTCAGAAAAAAATTAATACTCGATTTTGATTTCTTCAAGTGGGCGCCAAAATATTGTTGCCCAGGGTGTCAGTCCCTATAACGCCGGCACTGCAAATACTAATATCAAAATCCTGTTAAAACAGACATATTTATATTCTACCTGTCTATGTAGTGAAAAAGACTTTCACGATCTCAAACTTACACTATCATTACTTGTTAGAAACGAGTTATAAATTACATTTTATTGCTAATGAGAGAACTTTATATGGAGCTGATTAGGAGCGACCCATTTATATAAGACGTATTTATATACAGTCGTTGTATAAATACATATTTCAATTAACAATCGTGGCAGCAACAGCACATAAAACATTTGCAGACTTCGATTAATATAAAACAGGGTATCCAAAATAAAAATCCAAGAAGGAACATGCACATGAAATGACAATTTTTACATTGATTTCTTAGATCGTAGTATGGGGGATACATTTTAGGCCAACGGTGGTAAATCCAGACTTGTGGAGTTTTTCTTAAAGACATCAAATAACAGTCACCCATATTTTCCGGTTGTCTTCTTAAATAATTTGGTCTCCTCGTTAGCTGTGGTGAGATGGGATTCAATATTGTTCTCGTAATAGATGTTAGAAAATCTTTGCTTTTGATAGATCTAATCCTTTTTATTTTATCGTCCATTTTAAAATAATTATCAAAAAATTTATGTAAGAAGTTCAATGGCATGGTATTAGTTCTCTTTTTGTTCGACTTGGCACGTCTCTTCTTGGGCTTTTTAGCGTTTTTACGTTTATTTTCAAGTTTTTCTAATTTTTCTTTCATTTTTATTGCTTGATGCATCTCCTTTGGCGCTTTCTTTAATTTTCCTGCTGTTTCTGAGTCCTTTGTCAGATGACTTTTATTTAGTTTTGCTGCCTCGATTATTAATTTGCTTAATTTTTGTTGCTTATTCACAAGTTCTTTTTCTTTTAACATAATTTCGCATTGCTTTTGTAAAAGTTTTTTTAACTGCGCAGTACTTATTGTTACATTGTTTTCAGTGCTATCTTTTAAATAGTACCTTTGCATTTTGTAAAGCAGTGTTCTAATATAAATATACTATTAATTATATAACCTATCGCACATTATTTGAAATTTTAGTAGTTTTAATATATATTTTTATGTTTTCTTATCATGTTTTACAATTTTTTTTTGTTTTTTCTATAGTTTATAAATTTCTTAACAGATATTGTGAAATAGTAAACATTGCTAAGGAAATTGACACGTATTGTCATTTGTAAAAGTTTGGAAATTTATTATATAATAAAAAATGATAATAAATTTAAAAAGTTTGTATAATAGACAAACTCATAATTTTTTTTAAATAACACGTATATCGTATTAGCTTAAATTCTACGATTAAAGATAGTATTAGTACCTACTATAAAAAAGAGGGGCTGTCTTAGGCATGTAGTTAACTATTCATTTACTCTCTTATATTGTTTAAGAAATATTGAAATCTGATAGTGACTTTATTTTATATTAGCTATTATGTTTGAACTTAATTAATAACAAAAGTTAAAGCTATGGGAATCTTTTGTACGGTACAAACTTTTGGGGTAAAGTTCTAGATACTATAGCCTCATTCGCAAAAAACTACCTACCTAGTCATGGTATTTTCCCTTAACCAACTGCCTGGAATTGCGAATTTTATAGGTTCTATGTCCTACAAGCTACTCGGCTGCCGCTGGTGGAAACGCAAAGCGGTCATCCGTAAGCCTAAGACAAAATAACCAAAAGGACCTATTTGACAAACTGTTTAATTCTACCATCTGCATTTTATGACGAAAAAAACACACCTTTCTAACAGTATACCAGAATGCTCGGGTCATAAATCAAAATATAACGCAAAAACAATTTCACAAAAAATATACATACCTTATAAATTGAATGACTAAGACATCAGAACTTATATACAAGTGTGGGTGCAGAAAATGTAACAAGCGTCGGTTACAGGTCACAGTTCAAGACACCCGAGGTCAAACATAATCCCAGGAACAAGTATAATGAATTATTTATATAATTTCATCTCCCGACATTTTCTGGTTTCCTAGTAACATCTTTAAATTTAAAGACCTTTAAACTTTAAATCAAAACTTGTTTTTATTAATAACTTTATTATTATGGTCTTGGCGAAAGAATCAGAGGATATGTTGCGAAGGTGATGATAACTTTATCAATATTTATTATAAATTAAAACCCCAAAAAAAGTAAATAAATGTGATTTTAATATAAGCATTTTATTTTAATGTATTACGTAAGTAATATGTTTAAATCAATATTCAAATATAATCATTATTGTAAAGAAATTTACATTGTCTACAGCCATATAAAATGTTAAATGGAAATGCCCTTATATAACCAGGATAAATGAGGCACACGTTATCCTCGAGCCAGATTATTTATAATACATTGACGAGGACGCAGATGGAAACGTTGTGGAATCGACACGTTCAACCCGACATGTGTTGACGATAATGTTTGCACTTGGCACTATTTATAAAACATCATCCAATGTTTCGGTCTATTAAAAACAACAAAATAAAACAATATTATGAAACAAAGATATTTTTACAAAGGAATTTAACCCCTTTATTAATTAAATCTTATCTATTTATACTCCTTACGTTATATTTTATAGCCTATCTATTATTAATCTATTATGATTGTTAATTAATACGGAACGGACTTTACGGAACTGCGATACACTGAAGTAATTCCATTTTATTTCATATAAGAGAATGCCTTATCCAACAAGATTTCGTGGACTTCCTGCATCTGGGGGTCGCCGCCATTGGTCAGACGCTGTGGTTCGCATTTTGAAGTTCGAACGCTGTCTTACTTCTTAGATCGCCGCAAGATCGCGACGCGAGCGCATGCGTCGTACGTGCGTGTAACAGTGACAAAGCGTGTGTAAATTAATTTACAAAGTTAATTGGATATCGGATTCCGAATCGTCGAGATATTTTTAGACGTGAGTATTTTTTAAACTGGTTTCAGTGCATCGTATTATAAAGTCAATTAACCGCGTTTGATAATATCTTACAAAATTTATTCCGTCCGCAGAAAATCTGAAAGAGTTTTATTTTGTATTACCGAAAAGTGTATTTAAAATATATTTGTTATCAACTTTTTAATATTGCTATGCTTAGGGCTATTGTGCATTTTTAAAATATTTTCATAAATATTTTTTCTTACAAAACAACCACTGTCATTAAAAACCTATTAAGAACTAATTTAAAATATTTAATTTTATCGATGTCTGTTTCTAGGTAAATATCTATGTTGAAGATACATATTTAATAATACATCTACAGCTAAAAAATGCATTGTTTATTTGTTTACTTTTGAAGTACTTGATCATGACATTTAAAGTTGCAACATCTAAACATTCCACGGTGCTTAAATGTAAATAATTTAAAAACTTGTTTTAAATTACTATAACTTTCTACTAGTACTTATATTTTAAATATAATAAAAAATAATTATAAATATATAGGTATAATTTTGTTAATAACGAATTATGTTACAAAACCTTATTACTCTTAATTAACATTGACGCCACTTATTAGAATAAAATCTTCATTTTTAGGGTTAATAAATTATTTTCGAAAAATTGCTACTTTTCTATAAAATTAATCAGTGTATTACTTAAGTGGTTCTAAAAATAATAATTTGTAAAATTCCAACAGTAAGAAGATCTATACAAAGAAAAACAAAACTGTTCTTTAATAACTATATTTAATAGAAATATAGTTAAAATTTACACGTTTTTCTATTAGAAATGATAACGGATATGTGTCATAATTGTTATTTAATTTACGAGTAACCATATTATGACATTAACAAGTCAATATGTATGTAAGTGTTTATTGCCTTCCATTCTTATCTGATACGTCGACCGCTGACCGCGGTACTGATAGCATATACAAATATATCCATTAAAACTGATATATCAATTTAAATACGTGATAAATAATGAAATTTTTATATGTCTAAAATATTATTTATTTAAATTATATCAATAAAATATTATTTATTTAAAAAAAACCACAACAACAAAACGTCATTTGAAAACGTCACAATTGCAACGAACTGATGCGTTATAAGAAATGTCTTAACATATCCTTCAGTGATTCTTTGAAATAATTATTATTGAGACAATCGTGATGTTGAAGGAACTACAAGATAATTAATGATTTTTCCAAGTTCCAACTAGAATATTTTCGAATTAATCTTTACTTCTATATGTGATTTACTTAGGATATGTTGGCGAAAATGTTTATTCCTTTGTGGTATTAATAATTATGTAAATATCTTTGTAATCTGTGTCAGTTATATGTTTTTAAACTATGTTGTTATTGACATATAAATATATTCATCCTTTTTAGCGATACGCGAAGCGACTTTTTGATTTAATTGGAATGTGTAAGAAAAGGTATTGATAGTTTTTATTTCATGAATAATTGTAGAACTACTGTGTACTATTGTATTATTTTACATTAAAATTACTATATATGACAATGAATACGGAATATTTGATTTTTCAATTATCTCACAATAGATACATACAAATATCTCACGTAAAAATCATTGCGACTTTTCACACGAGAACAAACAATAGATTACTTAACACAGCCATATTGTTTTAAATTTTTACTCCATTATGTACGCTAAAAACAATGTTTATTCATATCTCTATCTTATTTATACGGTATTTTAATTAAGGTTTTAATAAATACATATATTATTTCAGGGATCCTGTGAACCGATGGCGCAATACCAGTTTCTGTTTCTGATCGCTGTGGTCGCATCAGGTAAATTTTATCTACGATAAATCGGCCGAAGGGTTTCGATCCCAGACGCTATGCCTATAAAAAAACTAGCCACAGATAATAAAAAGAAATAGTAATGAAATACTGAGACCGAACAGATAACAATATGTATCGGTTATAAAAAATATTATATTTTAACTAAAAGTATGTTTTATCTTAATCTTAGTTACATTGAAGATAGCTACCCAATTTAGTCAAAATTTTCTAATCCTGTTTTTTAAGGATCATCTTGTTTTTTAAATAAAAAAAAAAATTGATTTAGTGTGAATCTTATATTTGGTTATGCGTGATTTTTAATATAAAAAAACACAAGCAGACGTAAACTTGTACGCAGCAAACAATAGGGATCACATGTGCTGAGCCATTTAAGTACATATTGCTATACATATATTAGTTTACGAGAAACGGTCAATGCCTTGGACTGTGATAGAAAAATACACAAAGACGTTAAAGAACGTTTCTACTTGGCTAGTTTAAAACAATGTAAGAAAAAATTAAAGATTTTAATCACGCGTTTGTTAATAAAGTAATAATTTTTTTCTTTTTCCATTTCTATAAAAAAATTACGTCAAAACTTTATAAGACGTAAAATAACTGAAATCTGAAATAGATTTTAATGATAACAAGGAAAAAACAAGTGATGGGTTTTAATAATCATACTTATATGTACCTATACCTTTTAACATGTACATATTTATTTCATTATGTAGTTACACATCCATTCATGTACATAGTGTGTAAAAAAAATTATCATGTATACAATGACTAATTCAAAATCTAATACAATACTTGTTACTTATATTTTATTTACATTATTATACTATAAAACTAAAATATATTTTTTTAATGTATATTGTATATATTTTTTTAATGTATATTGTATATATTTTTTTAATGTATATTGTATATCATTAAGAGAAAACGATATCTTATAACGAAAGTAAGTTTTTTGAATGCTACGCAATTTTTTTTATTATTTTATATCTACATGTTCTCGACGTTTCGATTAATTTTCAGCAACTGTGATCACGGGCAGTTGACACGCAATTGAAATGTCAAAAAACTTATTTAAACGAAAATCCATGTATATACATATATTGGATAATAATAATTGAAATCTTTTACTTAGCAGTCCTATTAATACCTACTAATATTATAAATGCGAAAGTAACTCTGTTTATCTGTCTGTTACGCTGTCACGCCTAAACCATTGAACTGATTTTAATGAAATTTGGTACAGAGATAGAGTTGACCTTGAGAAAGAACATAGGGCAGTTTTATCCCAGACTTTTGAAAGGTTCTCTTGGAAACGCGATATAACCGAAGTTGCGGGCGGAAAGCTAGTATAGGACTAAATCTTTGTAGATATTCACAGTAATGGAGGTTTTAGTTATAAATACTACCGGACTCATGTTATTCTATCCACACGAGTTATTTATATAACTCCACGTATAAATTATATTCAGCGTATAAACAACGTCAATGTTTTCATATATATTCCGTGCGCTCGTAGTTTTTCCTTATAAATATTAATTAGTTAACACATCACAGTACGCCGCGATATAATAAATGTATCATGACGATATCATTAATCATTAATGATTGTGGGTCACCGCAATCATTAAATTGCACTCTAATGATGATCATTCGAAGAAACCAGGTGATTTTGGTTCGTGAGTCACAGTTTGGGGAGCCCGTGTTAAAACGTTCTTGTTATTCAAATAAGTATTCTTCCGCGTAAATAATTAGCTGGTGATTCATAGCTGTAGATGGATGTGGTCATAATTATTTACCTTAGCGTGACCTTTCATTAGATCGGAGTTTACCTGGAAATGTGACTCTGAATAATGATTTATACACTTACGTTTCCCATCTTAATAAACCTTAGTATAAAGATTCGCCAGCCAATATTGTAATATGTTTTAGTAAAAACGAATTTAGTATTATTGTACATAAGATGGTCTAGCATTTTGATTTTTGGTATAACAAACAAAATTTTATTAACACTTCTATTTTTGTCAAAAATATCAAACCTTGGAAATATTTTTAATATAAGTTTACCTTATTAAAAATGTGAGATAGAACTATCGCATGAAATTATCTCAAATTATGTATATAGTAAACTTATAAAAACCAAACTATTGACAATATCACATAACATTTAAAATAAAATTGTTGAATAATTTAAGAGTTTTTACCCGTATATGTAATCTGATGGTATGCCAACGCCGCCAAGGCTCTGCTGTGCTAAATAAGTGCTTACTCGTGACCGAGAGTACTCGAACCGACTTTCAATATAACTAACAGAACAGGCTCCTGCAAATAACATTACTTTCTATTTATTTTAATAAACTTTGATTCAGTACTGTAAATATATCAAACCAGTTGTAGGTAGCATATAACAAAAAAAAAATCATTGTCTCAACGGACATTTAAAATTTTATTTCTTTTATTCCGATCTCACCGAACAACTTTTTCTATTAAAAATCAAATCATTGATTGTGTGCTAAACGCCTTTCTCCGTTTAAAGTCATACATATAACATTAATGTTTGAGCTTGCAATACTGAGTGGAAAAAAATGCCGACTGGAAATATTAGTCACTTTCGATGCATGTACTGTATACAAGAGTGTATAGCAATCTGACTGGTTTTAGCTTTTAATACAGCCAGCAATCAATAACACTTGCACCTTTAACCAATACTATACCAGAAAATACAGGGTGACTGGTGAATTACTATCGATACTTGAGGACGTGATATTTGACGATCATATATGACAAAATAAAAATTAATATAACATAAATATTAATAAACTTCTAAGTAAAGTTAACCAAAAGTTATGTAATTAATTACGCATCGTATGAACACCCTACAGATTAGGTATACACACACACTCACACATACACGTGCGGCGGCGTGGTGTTGTATCAGCACGCCGCCATACGCGTCCACACTTGGAACGTGTCAACACTTTATTTATTTATACGGAAATTTTGTCAAAAATTAAGTGCCTATTTTTTTTACATAATTCGAATGAGAATCATGTACCGAGTATTCTCCTTAAATATTGATAGTAATTCACCAGTCACCCTGTATAACATGTAAATGACCGTCATAAAACAATCAAATAATCACAGTTTTATGTAGGTAAATTGAAATCTATGTATGCTTTAAACTTTAAAGCTATTAGGAAGCAATAGATTATTGACTGTTGACCCATTTGAGATAAGTGGATACTTAAGCAATTCACGAACGGTTGGAATAGATTTAAACAAGACGGCTTATACGTATATGATGGAGGTAGAATGTTTGTTTTTACAATTTAACCAATAAAATTTCATATACTTTCTTTTACATATAAAACGTGATTATTATTTTTGTTTTTTTTTTTGTCTTTCTAGGCCATACCAAATATGGGGTCTTTATAAATATTGGTTGAACTACGAATACATAACTTACTCTTAACTCTTATAAGGTACAATGGTTTTAATTAATTTACTTAACTTAGAACTGCATCTACGTATATCATTCTTTGGGACTACTATAAATGTACGCAAAAGCGTTTAGATTACATGTAGTGATTTTAATCTTGAATATGAGATCGTAAGGAAACTGCAATGGACTCTTCCGGCAGCTGTGTCTTGAAAACAAACGGGCCAGACAACATAAGTGCATAATGCATTCCGACCATTTACACTCGCAAGAAACAAAGACAATAAATAGTCAACATGCGTTCACTTTAAATCGAGAATTGCGATTTTTATTTTTAATTTATATTATTTAATATATGCTCTCCTTTCGTGTCAAATGTTCATAAGAACGGAGATAATATTATATTTTCATATAAAAATTTTAATTAATTTAAGTTGTGTCTAGATGGCGCTAGTCCTAATTATAACAGTACTTACCAACCCGCAAATTGTTTGTTTTCTCGGGAACATAAAATTATGTCAAGGAATGCTTGAGAAAAATCTAAGTACTTAAAGTATATATATCTATATATATAATGAAATAAAATGTCTAATATCCAGTACTGTTATTACCTAGTTTGCTATCAAATAATGTCACTGCACTTTTTGTTTGTTTAGTTAAAAAACTTGAAAAATTTTTTCGGGTATACAGTACTATAGACTGGTATGGGAATAAAAAGGTGTCTTACAGTAATTGAACAAGTTCTATAAGGCACGGAAATACTTTCTGACAGAGTAATGACTTAAAATTACAGATAAGATACGGACTTGAGGTTGCGTGACCAATTAATGCGTATCTCATTCAAGTTGAGAGTGACGAGGTAGATTTGAGTTCACATATGTATCGATCTATCTACTTCTACTATATATATAAAAATGGATTGCTGTTCCTTAGTCTCTCTAAAACTCGAGAACGGCTGAACGGATTTATCTTATCTTAGTCTTGAAATGTTCGTGGAGGTTCAGGGAAGGTATAAAAGCTGTAAAAAATTTATTCATTACTGGGAAAACCATAAAAACAGCCCTTTTCTATTTCCCATACAAACGTTTTTTTTTGACATTAGATTTGACAACTAACTAATATGTCAATCATTCTGTCGCACTTCAACACACGGAGATTTATGGCTTACAGGTAAACTCCAAAATACTAATAAAAAAACGTAATAGATATTTCTTGATAGGGCGATATATTCGCCAGGTCTTCTAGTATGTATATATTTATCAGTAACAAATATATATGATTATTACAAATAAACCAATCAGCTTTACCGTCTATCTTAGTGACTTTCACTGAGATTTATGAGGTTATGTCTTCAAAAGCTCCAATGATCTTACTAACCAATGACTCACACGAATATCTCGCATTAAAATATACTAAGGTTTTCATAAGGCTTACAAGAACCGGGTTTCGGGCACCGTTAAGCAAGCAAAGTTACGTTTGACCCACTAATTGAAATATTCGGTCGGCTTCAACCATATTTACTTACGGATTTTATGTTAAGTAGTTCCCAACTTCTCGACCACTTAGATGACTACAATTGTTATCTGACTACGAAATTTATGAGAACTTTTAAGAGGAATAAATTTATTTGCGATTAAATATATGTATATGTGTAATTTATTTGGTTTTTCATAATATTCTAGGTATAGGACCATGTCTAAGTCAGAGCTCTTTGAAAGTTGGTACATCCGAAACAACGCCAGCCAGTTTGTTGAAAGAACTCGAGGATAATAGCCGTTACAAGACCTTAGAAGCAAACGCTACACTACTGAAACTTCTCGTTGACGACAAAGGAGGAGTTAGCAAGTAACGATATGCTCAAAATTATTAATAAAACATTTCTAGAACTTTCAAGCTCAGTAAACGTGTCAATTAAATTGTATTTATTTACATTTAAAACGATATGAAAGTGTCTATTTAAAAGTAAATGGTGAAAATAAATAGTCAAATTTCTCTTCTTAGAAGTCTGAAAGTCTCTGCCTTTTTAATGTCTAATTTATTTACAAATATGTTTTAAACACACAAAACATTAAGTAAATGTTTTATTAACTCTACTTATATACATGTGAAAGTTTATTAGGATAAATGTGTGTAGCCCTTGTAATACTGAATCGATTTTGATTGAATTTCATAACAATACATATAGTTTGGATATCAGAGTACGGCATTAAAGCTATAATATATAAAAAATAGCCCTATAGTTACTGCAAGCTTTAAGCATAATATTGATATCGCTGCAGTTACCATGCCAATTGTTACCACTATACACTGCTTTCTTAGCCTAATTCCGATGTTTCAAACAAAAATAACTTCTTATATAAAATTTATTACATCACAAGTTCCAAGTCTCAACAATAATTCTTTCTTACTGTATATAAAACACTATTTATTAATTAAAATTAATATGTAGGTCGGAGGTTTTCGACATGTTGCATTCTAAAGATGATAATCATGACCACGTGGACTTGCCAACGTTCCCTGAAGATGCAGAGGAGGGACGAGTGGACGTGATGGTGGTACCTGACTCACAGGCTGAGTACCTGCAAGGTACGACTTATGAGTCTTATTATTATAGATTTGATACAAGCTGTATGTATAATGGAGTGAAATACATTAAGAATTCTCGCTTTATTTACTACACGAACTTACTTTCTTACATATATATGTATATATAGGGTAATTTTATAACATGTCTTTATGTTACACAAACTATATAACTAAAGCACATAATGCTTTAATTTTTTCATTACAAATACAAATATATCGCTGTCCCAATGTAATAATTATAATATTTTTTTTTTCTTAATATCACCTATACTTAGTTGAGATTTCTATATATTTTTTGCCATGACAATGATCATAAAAATACATAAGACTGCCTAAAAATACATGTACCTACTATAATGTTTGCAATTCTTCTGGCACGCTGCAGTATCCAATCTTTCGCTGCACTTTAGTTAAATAGTAACGCAAGTAGACTTTGTTTAGAAAACTAATACATATTATTAAATCCTTAACGAAGAAGACAACACTATTTCAAAGGTACTTAAATTATAATTAGCAGCCCTTATTAATATGTACCTAATTGTATTCCAAAATTATTAAGGCGATCGAGTTAAAAACTACTAAGCTCGAAAACAGAAGATCAATAAATACCTACACATTTCAATGCTTTTGTAAATATTTAGCATTACACAATATATATGATAATAAACCAAACATACTGGCAAGTCGCCATTAGCGACGGGAAAAATACAACATCAATTTCGAGCGATATATTAAAAGACTAGAGATCTACATATAATGGTCAGTTGAAGTTAATATTAAAAGCTATATACACAACAGCGTCAGAGTCAGTACGTAAGGATTCACGAAGACTCCGTTCAGCAGGCGGGCAAGCTGGGGCCGCTGCTGGGGTTATGGTGCTAGTGACGTGCGCCATAGTGGTCATAGCTTACACCGCGCTCGTCGTATGGAGGCGAATATACTTGTAAGTATGAACAAATACGTATCCTTAGTAGGATATTCCATCGTAAAACTACATGGGAAGATTGTCTGTTTCTGGTTTATGAATCTTGGCATAATATGATAAGTTGTATCTGTTAATGATATAATAGAAATTTTCTATATGTATTTTGACGGCATTAAGTTATAATAATGGTAGCATCCTAATACTTTGATATAGATGCTTTGTAGTTATAAATCGTTATTTGATTGTATTTAATGCTTATAATTTATATTAATATGTAAGCTTTGGAATTTTATATTTAATAGTTTAGGACGTAGGAATTTTTAACTAGATTTTTCTGTTATTAACATAGATACAAATTAATTTATTTTTATTTTGACTGATAACCAGGCTTGATTATGTACGTAGCTGCTTACGATTTACGACGACGAAAATATGTTCTTTTATTATATCTTAACAGTAAATTTATTGGTCATTAAATAAAATATTTCACTACACTAAAGTTTTCAACAGACAAACATAGTAAATTCACTTTGTATACTATAAATTTTTATAAAAATAAAACTGTCTGACGCATTATGTTTAAGATATAACATATTTTGTTACGAGGACATAAAGTTGGGAGGTACAAGCTTATAAATCGCCACGGGGTTCCTATAGAGTAACGGCCCATATTCACAAGGCTCATTGATCGGGTCTTTGACTTACGATTTATTTGGTGGCTTCTCATTGCTATACGCCGTGTGGGATGCGATCAAATCAGATGGAAAAACGCTCCACTGAATTAAGTATTAACATCCTGTAATACGAGATTGTACTTTCTCTTTACGCTTTTATAGGGCTACTTTCGTTCGATGAAAATCAACAATGATTATAACAGTTCATTATCAGACAGAATACAAGAATGCTTAGCAAAAATTTGGATCGTCAAACAAACGAAGAGTTCATGTTACTTTTTGATGATTTATGAATTAAACACTTTGAAATCTTCGTATGCAGTGTTTTTTGCTATACTTATGTATTATGGCAAGCATACGATTCAACTTGTCTACTTTAACAATATAGGTGCTTTTTTTTTTCACCTTTTTTTGGAATACTTACGTTGAAAACACAGTAAGTATAATTATGTTTTTCAGACTAATTTTCAAGGCGCTGGTATAAGTCATCGAGATTCCTTTAATAATTTATAAAGAAATCAGCATGCTTACATAATTAATTGCGATAAAGTATAAATACTCCAACATTGTATTTATTTGAAATAATTTGCTTAACTAACATATGATTAAAACATTAGTAGCGATCCACCGTTAATACTAAAGATAATAATTAACTTCTTGTACTCAGTTTTCATATTCATTGTAAACAATTTTATCAAATATCAAACAAATCTAGGTAAACCTTTTATTAATTTCAAGGTTTAATTGGTAGATATCGGATGTAGAGTTGTAGAGTTGTAGTAAAAATTCTGGTCGTAAAAATAATTGTTATAAATTTCTGTTGTCGGTCAGAAACTCAGGTTTTATTATATTATGAATTAATGTTCTAAAATAATAAGTTTATAATATCTATACGGTTGTCTATGCCAATGCCTAAATCATTCTGTTTACCTACTTATTTTTTTACGTTTAAATTAAATAATATATTAAAAACATTAAATATACAATAGAACTGTGAAAACTAATGAATATATTCTGTATATAACAATAATATGTAATTTAATTTTAACAATCGAACAACGCTTGTTTAAATAGATGGACACTGACCAGTGTTTTATTATAATTAGTAATTGGTGTTATGAAAACAAAACGCAAATGACGCACTCAGTATCATTCATTTAATTTATGCACAAAGACAATATTAATAATGTAATATACCTATTAAGAGGATAGTAAAGATATTTGTAGTTGTTGATAATGTAAAATTAAGATTAAATAAAATTTAGGTACTACTATCAACTATGTAGAGCTACTGCCAAGCAGACAATACGTAGTAAACGTTTCCGACAACATTTCAGCCAGTCTATTAATAATATTTCTGGAAGATCTAATGAAAATCTTAGATTTCTTATATACAATTTAAGAAGATTTTTTATTTATCAATAACCCGATATTCGATTGCACTTCGTCAAATTCATATTACTCATTGATATTCATGAAATTTTCGTATAGGTCAACAATTAAAGAAACTTTTTTAAATTTTCAGAAAGAAGCACGGACTGAAACATGAATTGTTACGAAATGAAGAGATCGCAGAAACAAGAATTGAGGTAATTTGTAAATAATTCGCTTATTAACATAACCTCAATAATTATAATGAAATTGGCTATGGAATGGAAATATATTTCTTACATTTTACCTACAAATAAATTACGCTGAAAAAAATCCTAACTAAATACATGTTTTTTTTTTCAGTTGTGAACGTCACAGTTTACAAGAATTATTTGAAGACTACCAAGTTTCGTGATTACTTTGATTAAGATCAACAATTCTATAAAAAGATGAAGACTGAATTATTTATATGATGAGCCACAGATCTTGCTGAGTTGGTGTCACAGATAATAAAAATAGTTTTAGTACCGTACAATGGATAACTAATGCATAATACACTATGTATTATTCCTATGAATATTAAATAGGAACTGAATATTTTATATATAATTATTTTGTACTACATTTACATTGTTTGAATTCTAGTATACAAATTTGTTTTTTAAGTAATCTTTTCAAGTTTTTCATATTCATTGTATGCACGTCATTTTACAATTGTAAGCCACAATAGAATAGATTATGACTTAGTTTATATAAATAATAATTTTTTTACATATATTCTATGAACAATTGTATGATGTAAGTCCTTTTTATGATTGTAATTAAGAGGAAAATTGCATTTAAGAATGTTTACTCAAAGGGAAAAATTTACTAACTTGTGCCATACAATAATTGTCTACTATTAGTTATTGATTCTAATATTGTAATTTAATGGCAATTTCATATAATATAGAACAAATAGTCTGTGATGTTTTAATAAAATAAGGAATAAAAAAAACAAAGAAAAATGCAAAGTTTATTGTTTGTTCATTTATCACCAAAAAAATGATAATCTTAAAAATAATCCAACAACATTGATCTATCCCTATATTTGTACAAAACGTTAAACAAATCACTATTTCACTTATATAATTGTAGTCTAATTAAGCAATTACATTTGGAAAGCCAGAAATAAAATCTTTATAAGCATGAATATGTACATATATGCAGTGAATAATATTTTCAAATTATTTAAAGCAATATGATGATTTGCGAGACGGAAACCATATTATTGTTTATTGTCAATATTGTTCAAATTACTTGTTCTCCTTATGCTTGACAACTACTGGACCTGTGTTGTCTCCTGTCTCTTTGTTGTGAGTTCCATGAGCACCATCACAGTATGGCCACTGAAAATACATCATTAATATGATACTCAATAATTTAAAACATTTTTTATTACTAAGACTAAAATAAATAAAATTGGAACACAAAATGCTGTAAATATAATATATATATTATAGAACTTATCAAGCAATGATAAAACTGATAAAACGCTGATAATATGAGCAAACAAATGCTCAAAAAATATGACAAATGCATCAGCCTTATTCCTTAGACAAATTTGCTAAAGAAATTTTAAGTTTAATACTTTCTAAGTTGACCCACTGAACTAATCTACATCCTTGGACAAAAGAGATTGTGATTTAAAATATTTTTTAAAGAACAATTGTAATGTATTTTTTAGTTGAACATAAAATTGTTCTAGTTACATATACATGTAAATTTTCTGATATAAAATCTTATTGTGTTGAATACAGAATTTTATAAACTCACATTTTTGCTCCTCCAACATCTACATAGCGACACCTTTTCTGTAATATCTTCGATATCAATGAAGTCCACCACTTTATTTATGTCCTTCCGAATGCCAGGATTAACCTGGCCGTTACCAGCTTCATTTGCTTTTTTTATGGTCTGGTAGGAATAATATGAAATGCCTCCAATTGCAAGGGTAGGTGGCAGGAGGGCAAGCCAATCACGAACTAAAACAAAATATTAAATCTTTCAGTTTTTGAACCTTAAAATACTACGAGATAAATAATATTGTCTAAAATATTACATTGTATCTGTAAATACTAACTATAATATAACAATTTAATAGCAATTAAAATTAAAAAGATCTTTGCTCAGTCAATGTTGATAATTGATAATAAATAAGATGAAACAATTGTAAAACTAATAATCACATCATTTAAGATCATTGTTGCTTGAGATTATTATACTATGATTAGTCGAAAGTGTGTCAATGGCCTTGAAGCCTCTAAGTTTTTTTTAACTTGAATTAAATACAAGTAATACCGATTCAAAAGTTTATTATTACTCAGTTTAAAATTATTAAATAAAAAGTAATAATACAATTACTTCTATAAATGTATATTAAAAAAAATAAAATAACTGTTTATTTAATAATGTTAAAATCGCACGAGGAAAATTAGCTTACCTCCAAGACGAAACCATCCTCCAAATGAATCGGGGATTGGCAAACTTGATAAATAATTGGGGATGGTGACTTTAACAACATTGGAAACAAAATACATGTTTGGTGTTAATTTAGACTACACACAATAGTTACACAACTAATTACAAAGTGTGACGTACTCGAAACGACTTGCAAGTTGCAAACTAAAAAGTGTTCAGTCAAATGAAAATGAAGTCGGCTGTCTGGTGTCTAAAATTATATTGAGACAGCTGACAATTGACAAATGACATTAACTAAAGTACCAAATATCAAAAACAATCACTATTTAGAGCATTTTTGTTTGTGTATTTAAACAATATTTCAAACTTAAAGATATTTTTAAGTACGAAATATCGTTTGAAATCAATTTTTATTACAAGACAGGTGAGAACATATATTTGCAGTCTATTTTACAAAAGTAATTTAACATTTAATATGAAGAGGTAATTATATCATTTATAAGTAAAACATTTAGACATAATAAATGCGTTTAATTGGAGATAGGAATAAAATAATGAATGTTTAATATATGTAAATCTATTATAAATTATATATGTTATCTGTGCTTGTCTGTTTCTCGTTTCATCGTTTTGCTGGGTGCGTTTGCTATCATACGTTGTAATTATGAATATTTTCATTGGTTTTATTGAGTAATATTCGTCACGTTCGTCCTTTATGAGAAATTGTAAAGTGGTAGAAGTGAAATCCTTCCCAGGATATTGACCAATGCTGCTGTGTACTGAATATGGCTGACGAAAGGCTAGTGGTCCTGAATCGTTGTGACAACTTGGGATTTGGATTTTCTTTACTCGGCGAAGCCGGTTTGCCTCATATTATTTACGAAATCGAAGAAAATTCTCCAGCTGCTAAGAGTGGTGAGGTGAGTAACTGACATTTATTTTCGCCTTGTAAATTATCAGTTCTATAAAGTTTAAATTACGAAAGAATTATCTCAAAAAATATTTTCAGCATTTTGTAATTTCATCTGTCTATATGTATTTTTTTAATATAAAATATCGCTTTTTACTAGTTAAATTAAAAGGTCCTCGAGTATACTTTTAACATGACTGCACATAAAAGTTAAAACATTATAGAGATAAGAAATCTATAAAAACAATAGATTTTGTAAGAAAATATTGATATAAGGATTTTATTATAAATTAACTAATTTTATACTAATGCCTTATATTTTTAAAATATTATTTTACACACTTGTTCTGATAATGTTAAACAAACCTTCTTGCTAAAGATAAATTAAATAATACTTTCTACTATAAACTGTAGTATTTATAATCAAAAGCTATAAAACATTTCAACTTTGTCATATATGTAATAATATAATAAAGATTTCATGTGATCTCTTGGAGTAGATTTCACTCATATTTCATTTTTACTATAAAGTTAAAGAAGCAAAGGTATATATTTAAACATTTTGAAACAGGCATTATTAAAAAATATTATCACCGGTTCATATAACACAATCATTACTTAATGTATATTGATATTTATTACCTATCAAATGAATTTTAATTGCATGACACTTCAAAAAAGATGTTCTAATTATTGAATACAATTTATAACTAAGTTTTCTAATTTTGCCTACTCTTCTTAAGTTTTTCTGATAAATATATCTCATGGACTTTTAGTAATATTGGTGTTATCTTATAATATACCTATATTAAATAATATTTGGCCAATATAATTTTTTACATACAGTCCTAAATTATAAAAATATCTTAAATCATTGAAATTGTACAGTTTTACTTTATTATTTAGAAATATTTTATTCATATAAAGGCCAACTATTGTCTCAGATTTTTGTAAGTATAAATGTGATAACAATATTTTTGTAAATAACCAATACTTTAATGCAAATTCTTGGTATTATATTAATGTGTTGTTTCTGACTCATAATAAATGTTATGAAGTATTATGAAGCTTATATATATTATATTTTATATATGTACATAAAATAAATGAAAGGTTATCTGTGGATATAGCAATATAAAGTGATAGTGAAAATTTATGGGTACTTAAATTAGTTTGATGTGAAAGATGCAACTACATATAAAAATAAATTATTTTATATAAAATGCCTTAAACCTATTTGAAACATTGCTTGGGAAACATCAAAGAAAATGATTGTCATAAAATTAAGTATAAGAGCTGTATATAGAAAATCATTTATATATATGTATTATTATTCTTTCTACATTCTTATTATTCTTCTTTCTTCTAAACTGTCTCCTAATGAGTCTATTATACTTTTATCTTAAATCCAACAGAAGCATTTAATAAAGAATGTTATACGAAAAAATAATAGTCTTTCATGTGAGTAATGAAGCCTGTCGTAGTAGTTAATTAACAACAGACTCATTAGGGATTTATCGTAAATATTATAACAAAAAAACAATAAGTTTGCTGAAAATTATTTGAAATTCTTTTTCTTTGGAAATATTAATTCCACATACATATAAATAATCATCCTATGATATAAAAAGTTATTTATTTTATTTATATAAAACACTTATTAAAAGAAAAATAATACTTAAGAAATTATTTTTATCACAATCTGAAAAACACTCAGGTATTATAGACAGAGAAAAATAAACAAACAATTTTTACTCATATAAAAAGGTGAGTTATAATTGTATAAGTCTTCCTAACAAACCTTAAAAATTTAAAACAAATATATATTCACCCTTTTTATATTTATTAACTCCGACGCAAAAAAAGGGTGTTATAAGTTTGACGTCGATGTCTGTGTATGTGTGTGTATTTGTGTTTTCGTCGCTTACAAAAAGGTAAACCGATTTTGATGCAGTTTTTTTTTCATTTAAAGCCTAGCTTCCTAGTTGTTGGTTAAAACTGGGCCAGTTTCTTACGATTGCTCGGAAGTTTTTATATAATCGTTGAACGTTAACGCGTAGAGGTTTTTTTAATTTAATATAACACGATATTCTGTCAATCTTGATGCGCTTTAAATCTCAATGATACTTTGTCATGTAGATTGTAGAGCACTTTAAGGCTGACCAGCTCGTTGAGTGCAGATAAGATTCAAATCAAGTTTATTAGACTTCTCAATTACTGTTATTAACACATTACACGCGCAAGTCAAGATATTCATGTAATTTCCATCCGAATTTGGGCAATATAGTACGAAGTTTGTATTGAGATGTACCTATTTGGTTATGATGTTCGCCGTGGTAACTTCGTATGTTTTATTTATTGCCATTAAAATGTTAAGATAAATTATGTGTCATTTGTCATGTCTGTTATAGCCCATTTTAAAATCAAGGCAGCCATTATTATGTACGTTTTAATTGAACTTTAATTAATTGAAACGTAATATGTAAGATTTTCGCGTATACTAGTAAGAAACGCAGGAAAATCTTAATTTAATTTTAATTAAAACGTTTGATAGGTTGAACAAATTCGGATAATTTTATCTCATTTCAGAACTAATTTAATATTAATTTATTTAACTTACGTTGGATTATTTGATCTTAATCTAAACAGGATCTGGATTTTCAATTTTACGAAGTCGTGTTCAATTTTATCCAAACGTTTAAAGGATGACCGTTTGAAACCGTTGAATGTTAATAAAGTTTGCATCGTGTGCAATAAGACATTGAGTTGACCTAAATATCTGTATATAAATTAAATAGCATTACATTGAGCATCAAATATACTTCAGTGAATCAACGAACAAGGATGAGGAATTCAATATATGATGTACCGGATTTAATCTTGAAATCTATCTTAGGATCAAATCAACGGATCTAATATACTTTTAAGAGTTTGTAAACCTATATTAGATAAAAAAAATAGATAAAATGTCGAAATGACTAAGACGTCGAGACGATTGGATGACGCACTGTCTGATGCGAGTGTAACGTGCCGTTTGTTAGTCGTAAATGACATCGAAATATTAATATTTACTATCCGTGGGCGTCAATAGAGATTATATTAATGATGTAATATGAATTTCAGTACTGCAACGTTACAGTTCACATTGAAATGATAATTAAACACTGAATAATTAATGCCCCGGAGCTTAATAACGGACAATAGTATAGCAGGGACAATGGTTTTTCTCCTCAAAAGATACGCTCCAAGAGATTGTACTTTGTCTCCGTCTGATAGCTAGTGCGGTTCGATATCTTCAACTATGTTTTTCACGAGGCATGCGATGAATTACAAATTACTTACAAAGATTTAGACGACAATTAAACGCAGCGGTGCCCGTCTGGACTTTACATTACTATACTATTACTTTTTGTAATTACTACACTATATACTGACCGAAGTTTTCAGAGATAAGAACTTAATAAGTATACGATTTATTTTCAAGTCTGTGACAATAAATTGTGTAACATTAAAAATTTTAATATAATTTTCAGCTTAGATACGAATCTTATAATTTTTTGGGTACAAATTTATTATTTACATTATAATGAAGTAATTATATATGTAATAATGTATGTATATATAATATAAATGTAATTTGAGTAGTATTAGTCATTCCCTGTCATGAAACTCAACACTAGCCAACCTCATTGGGTCCTCTACTAAGATCTATTTCCTCACGCTACTTGTAAAATTAGAACGAACCACTTCAAGAATTGTTGATATCCAGAAAAGGCTTTTATTATTACATTCATATATCTAGCTATTCATTTTTATTTGTTATATCATTTTCAATTTATAGTTTTTCTGTAATAATAGTACTAAATTTAAAATCTACTAAATTTATCTATAATAATTATCGCGTATACGAAAGTTAATTAGGTTTTAAGAAATTTTTCTTGATTTATTAATTGTAAATACTTTCTACAAAGTATAAAAAAATATATTCCATGCAGCTTAGGAATATATATTTATTTGTTTTAGCTGCATGAAATACAAAAAGACAAGTTACGTCATAGCAACTTAAACTTTGCTATTGAAAACGTCCAATACCCAGCTCAAATACAAGTTAGAAAGTCATTAAAAGTAAAATCTAGCTCTAGCCACTACACCAGTATCTGCTTATCTAGAAATGCTGGCACCGCTTTCGATTTTCCAATAACTCATTAGTTATGTCAATCAAGCGGGACGGTGTCATATATATCAATATAAGCAGCATTATCATAAATACGATCGAACGTACAAGTGTTTGCTCATATTAATTTATTATAAAGTGTATTAGAAATTATTGAAATGTATCAATATTTAGTTCTGACTGTAGGTATACGTATGATCAGACATTTTCAGCAGCTTGCCTGTGATCACGATTGCTGTATAGGAAACGAAACGTAGGGATCATGTATGTAGATGTAGAATAATAAAAAATACATAGCATCCTAAAAACTTAGTTCCATTTAAATAAAGATATGAGAGTATAACTATTCTTTACTTTGTTAAAATTAAATGTAATTTATTTATAAAGACTGTATAAACACATGGTCATAGCAATATTTCTGCACTCTTACCTCTAGTTTGCGATTTAGGACTAAAAAAATATATGAAAAAATTACTTGAGACTGTGTGTAGTTTTTAAATTCACACTCGTAATTGTTCAGTATCGTGTTTCAGAAGTGCTCGAGTACAATTAGATGTTTTTAGCTCATATACATATAAAAATGCAATAATATTCTGATTTATATAATAAAGCTATGTAGCTCTATCGGATTCCAAGCTGTGACCGTGAATTGTTCTAGTAGAATGGCCAGAATAGCTTATTTTTTATAGCATATTTGGTAACATTCCCAAAATTGCGATGTTGGCTTAACAAGCACGAAATGTTTGGAAGCTATTTTTTATAGTTAATTTTAAACTGCAGAATATACTGTTAGTTTTATTGTTATAACTTAAGATTAAAGTTAACGAGAGCTTTAT